TCTGGGAGTTGAAGTCCACTCATCTTAAAGTGGCCAAGTTTGGACAACACTGACCTAGTGATTTCTAAAGCAGGAGAGTGACTGCTGTTCCAGGAAGCTATCATGCCGCTCTTCTGCTGTAAGAGAGCAACAAAGGGGTAGTGTGGTATCTCCAGGGGCCACCAAGCACAACAAGGCAAGGATGCCCAGTAGGTCTGTGTCCACCCCAAAGCTCCAGTGTTCCTGCTGCAGAATTGTCTCCACAGTCATTTCCTTTGCACCCCAACCAAGTGAGAAATTAATTGGCTCTGCTGCCTTATACACACAACAGCATGTATTCATATAGGTGCAGAGCTGATCTAGGAGTAGTGGAAATGCCGTAATTAGGGGAACCCAACTCAGATATTTCATCAGAATTTGTAATGACTTTGCTGAAGTCTGGTTGCCATCATGAAGCATCAGAGATGGAATTTTACTAAGAGTTTTTAATACAATTTCTTCTGGACTGAACAGACATAAATATTTCTTAGAACACTATATATGTGCATTAATAATCTCACCAATGTGAGAATGTGTGTATCAGCCAACAGGGGCCCAGAAGTACATTATGAATGGCCATTATTGCTTGGGGCTGTGCAGTGCTCTGGATTTAAAGTTAAAAGGTGCTTTAGAGCATGCTTGGACCCAGCAGCATCTGTGTGTGTGTGTGTGTGTGTGTGTGTGTGTGTCAAAACAGGTAAGATAGTGGTTGTGTGAGTCCAGCCTTGTTTCTTTTGGATATATGTCAACATTGCGTGCAGGTATAAAGGAGTGGGGCTTTGATTACGCAGCTGCAACCACCATCTCACCTATTTTGACACACACACACACATATGGATGCCACTTGTCAACAAGTCCTTAAACCAAATGCATCCTTTCCCGGGTTGTCAACAATCCCAAGAAATAATTAGTAGTACAGCCCTGCTATCTATAAATTATGATTATTTTTACCTTCTATGTTAGTTTACTCTAATCTTTACTTTTATCCTCCCCTCCCTTCTCTTCCCCTCAGATAATACTACATATATTTAAAGAAGTGGGCCGTAGATGTCAGTGACATCTTACTGTACATTCTTAGTTCATCTTTAAGATGCCACAAGGCTCAGACTCAGTTTTTTGCTTCAGTGGAGTAAGAAAGCCACCTCTCTGGAATCTTTCCATATACTGTGGTTGTTGTTGTTGTTGTTTTAAAAAATTATGATAGATTTGCTTCTTTTTTGGCAGAACCATTTTCTGCTCCCAGAATAACCATCAGTCCCCCACAGAATATCACCGAAGGGGATAAAGTCTGCATAACGTGTTCAACTGTCCTACGTCACCAGGATCAAACTGAAATTATTTTGCAGAAAAATAGAACAATTCTGAATAGCACAAAGGGCAGAGAGACCCTAACATATTGCAAAATAGTCAAGATGGAGGACAACGGCAATTATATTTGCAAAGTGGAGCATGGGAGCGTATCTAAAATTGACAAAAAAGAACTTGTGGTGGCTGGTAAGAGATTTCTCCATCTTGTTTTACTAACTCACAGGCAGACCTTAGTCTATTCTTTTCACTAACTATGGAGTGGAATATTTACTTTTTCAAGATACAAAGTTATCGGGTAGGTGAGTTCTGGCCAGAGTGGCTTCATGATGCCACACTTTGTGAAACTGTTTCAACACACTTTGTGAAACTGTTTCAGGGGAACCCGGTAGAAAGCAAGGGAGCGTCTAAACACACATGGCTTTCCTTTCCTCAAATTTCAAGTATAGCAGGATAGGGGGTTAGTATACCACAGTTCTATAGGCGTTGTTTGACCTTTAGGCAAGCTGCAGGAGTATGAAGGCCATGTAGCCTTGCCCAAGAATAAGGCAGAGCAGTCCTTCAGGCCACCCTTAGTCCACCTCTGAAACCTGAGTTTTGTGAAGGGCACAGTAGACAATAGCATTTTCCAGGAGCACTTTTCAAAACCAGAAATAGCGTTAAGGATGCTTTTGAGCCCTCTCATGGAGTTTGTGGGCAAAGTGAATTACTCTGATGTAGTGCATACATTAGACTTGCTTTAACTGAACACAGGGCCTTCTAGGATGGTAGCATTACATACCTCTTTAATGTCAATGAGGACTGTAATACAATTTTTGTAGTCTAATGTATTTTAAGTTATAAATTCATGTCTTTTTCAGGAATGTGCTATTATTTGTATTATTTCTCTTATTTCCATTGTCCCTTGAGTGCCTTTTTAGAATAGTGCATAAATATTGAACTAAATTTCCTGGAAGAAACGAAAGCCATCTTCCAGTCATTTGGCAGTGAGCAGGTGAACGAAGGAGTGCCTTTAGCCTTCTTAGAGTAAAAGTGGATCGTCTAGACTTTCCTGACAGTGTCAGCAAAAATTAGGCACAGAAATAATGCTGAAACATAAATGTGTTGAGTAGGGTGGAGTTTGTGCCACTATCACCCATGCATGAAATTTAAACAATAATTTTGCATACTTCGTAAAAGTGCGAGTTATCATCAGTTATATAGGCATTATATATTAATATAATATAATATAATTTGTATTTCCAGATTCCTAAAAACAAATCTGTGAAATCCTGAACTTAACCCAATAATAGAGAGGCCTGCTATCTTTACCATGTCAAAGATTTGGGGCTTTGCCTGGGGGTTGCATGGTCACCTGAGAGATGCAAAGAGAATACTGACATAAATGTGTCCTTGTAAATAGCAGGCAACAGGAAACCTATGGACTCAATAGGCCATTTTGATAGATTGTCTATACCCCATCCTTTAGAAATTTTTAAAAAATGATTATTTCTGCAAACCTGGGAATGGCAACTCTCTGTTGGGCAATAGAGCTTCTGTTTTGGCTACTGAAAATAGAAAAATGCAGTTTGATTTTGTAAGCTGCCAAGAGTCATGGGGTTGTGGCAGGTCACACATCTAATAGATAGATATGCAGTTCAGGCCTGGGATAATATGTCAGACTTGATATCCCATGTTACACTGATGAGGAAGGGACTTTGTACATTGCAGATATTGTACAATGCTCCTTCTCTTTCTCCTTCTCCTTCACTTGCTCCTTCTCTCCTCTTCAATCACCTTACAAACTCCTCCCCACTGTATTTCCAATACTCCTGACTAACATTCCCTGTTGGTTGACAGAAAGAAAAGAATCTGTGTTTGGAACCTTCATTCACAAATTTTTAATCTATTGAGCATATGCTCTCTCTAATTATTTTAATGATTTTTCTGGTTCTGAAAGGGTGGCCCATGCTCTGCAAAACTAACATTTGATGACATACCTTAGTGTTTATCCAATGCCTGGAGGTGGTAGGTGACTTTACTGGATGAACAGGTTGCAACTCATGCAAGCGAGACTGAGTGGGTTTGGGGGCCCCAGGTTCTGGAGCTGTTCCACTGATAACTCTAGAAGGGTTAGCAATCCCCCAGACAGAGTTGGTGTGCAATCTGGGGGTCCTCCTGAACAGGTGGTAGCCATGGCTAAGAGGACCTTTGCACAAATCCATCTTGTGTGCCAGTTCTGCCTCTTCTTGGATCTGCTGATGTTCTTTCCTGCCTTTGTCACCTTCCGTGTGGATTACTGCAGTGCACTCTACGTTGTGCCACCTTGAAAAGCATTTGAAACCTTCAACTGGTCCAGGTTACAGTGGCATGCATAGTATTGGGTACACCTAAGTTTGCCCATGCAACACCACTGGGCATAATTCAAGGTGCTGGCTATAATTTTAAAGCCCTGTATGGCACAGGGCCAGGTTATTTGCAGAACTGCCTAACCCCAGTCATTTCTGCCCATTCCATCAGATCTGACAGGATGGACCTGCTCCAGGTCTCCTCAGTGAAGCAGTGCCATCTTGCAGGACCCAGGAGATATACCTTCTCTGTGGCAGTGCCTGACCTAAGAAATAGCATCTCCCCAAGATCTGAATGATTCTGACCCTGTTGGCCTTTCAGAAGGCTATGAAACCCTGGTTTTCCCTCCAGCATTAGAGCCAGGTTGTTAGCAGAGGCCAATATACATGCATCTGGGACTGGGTTTGTGAATTGCCTTGACTTTTGTATTTACTGTATTATATTTACTTGTAACTGTATTTTTGTTGTTTTATATTGGTTATTTCCTTAAGATGGGCAGCTATATAAATTTTCTAAATAAACAAATACCTTCCAGGCTCCCACATCAGTAATTTATGTTCTCTCCGTTTTGTTTTGGTTTTTTTTTGCAGAACTATTTTCCAAACCAATCTTAGTAGTTAATAAAACCAACTGGGATGAAAACAGCACTGTACAAATTCAGTGTCAAGTTAATGGTCCAATGCCAATCAATCTCTCACTCATGAAGGACAACAAAATATTGGTAAACTCCAGCATTTACAAGGCTAAATTCCGTGTATCTGACAGTGGAGGCTATGTGTGTAGGGCAGAGATAAACAACATTTCCAAGGAGAGTGACCCAATAGTTCTCCGAGTGTATGGTACGTTGATTTAAAGATATGAAGCCATCTGTTTTTATTTCAGCCTTCTCCAACCTGGAGCTTTCTAGATATGCTGAGAGTTGGGATGACTAATCTTGGAATTCTTAACTGGCATTAATGCATTTGGAAAAGCCGAGAGTGAGGAAGGCTTTTATCTTATTTGATAAATAGTAAATAATTATTTACTGAATGAAAGCCTCTCTACAACTTTATGGTATGTCTAGTTCAGCTGAAAGAATACTTAGTTAGAACAGAAACCACAGAAAGCAACACAGATTCTCCTACCTAGTTTGGGATCTGAAGGGACTATAAAAGGTTGAGAATGATCGGAGGCGGGCTGACCAGGAGGAGAATCCGTGTGACTCGGTGGTTCTGCTGAAAGTGTTTCTAGTTTTAGCAAGAATAGCTGACTCTGAGTATCAAGGAAATCAGAGGTGAAAAGGAGAGTCCTTGGACCTGCCCAGGAGAAAGAAGTGGACAGTAACTTTGGCAGGGAGCAGCTGCTGAGCTACGTTAGTGCCTACTGAACAGAAATGGTAGGCCCAAACCAGAAAGCTCTCTGACCATAGCAACATAGGTTTAACTCTTCAAAGCCCAAAGATAGTTTGCTATTCTGTGTATATTGTTATAGATATCCCCAGATATTAAAAACATGCTCTTGGTCACACACACACACACACACACACACACACACACACACCTGTACATGTATATCTTAATCACATTTTTTCTCACTGAAAGTAAAGGAAATGATGGGGGGTAGGCAAAGATTCAAGGGAGTAAGAAATCCAATTCATTTCCATGTGGATACCTTCCATTCTCCTATACGGGCAGAAGGAGAGATTGGATGCATAGCACATATATAAGGGAGACACAATGGTCTGCCTAGGGCTGGAAGGATTAGAGCAATTAGTCGTGCTTAATAAAATGAATCAGATCACCTGTATCATGTGATGGTTCATTTCTGTCACATGCTGCCTTGACATGTTTCTACATTTTCCCTCACCTTTGTGTGATTCTCTTTCTGCACGTTCATTCCTCATTTTAGAAATGAACCGCAACGTAATGAAACAGTGCTGTTTTATTACTTCAACTGCCACTTATCTCCCAATACTGTCTTTCTTTTCAGCTCCAGTTTCTCTGCCTGCTCTTTCTCAACCAGTTTCCCAAGTGGCAGTACTGGACAAGTTCTTTGTTTTACAATGCTATTCAAAGTTTGGAACTCTGCCTATCACGTACACCCTTTACAAAGGGAATATACGTATCAGGAAGATGGTGGCAAAGGAAAATACACCAGCAAACTTTACGGTCAAAGCAACTAATGTGCATGAGCCTGGACAATACAGATGCCATGCTAACAATGGCCACTCTCTTTCAAAACAAAGCAAAGGGCTAAATATCACAATAATAGGTAACTATTTGGTATGGTTTTTTTTTAAGAGAATTGCTGTTGGTCATGCTGTTTGTCTGGAGATTCTCAGATTTGAATATATCTGAAGGGTGCCTGGTTGGGGAATCTGGTCTGTGGTAATAATAGGCCATTGGGAGCTCGGAGGCCACCAGTTTCCATCTGATCTAGAGGACATACCGCCTTCTCCCACACTGCTATGCACTATAGCCATTTCTCCAGTGTTGAAGAAGCTGCAAAGGGTTATTTTAACACACGTGCACACAAACACACCAGTTCCCGGCTACATAATTGTCAACAAATAAGAAAGGTTTGGGTGGACCTCACTCCTAATTGTGCCTCCTCATCCCTGTTAATATGCCTAAACTATGGGCTATTTATTGGTTCATTCCTCTAGTAAATTTCTACAAGGAACTCAGGACAGCCACACACATCCTGACTCTCTTAGCCATGCAACAGTGCAATGTAATAGGTTAGATTGTGTGCATCTGTGTGTAACTGGCTAATGATCAGTCAGTAACTATGCTTTTTCTATTTCTTTTATGAAATGTAATAAAATTAAAGGTTGCAAAGCAGTAAGTTTGAAATAATAGTGAGCAAATGAAATGAAGGACTCAGCCAAATTGAGTATTTATATTCATGGCAGGGGAGATTTTTTCCTTTTTTTTTTGTTTTTGTGATTCTGTGCTAGAAATTAATTGCTTTGTAACAATGAATTGAATCAAAATGCAATTATTTTTCCCAAACTGTTGGCTCTTCTGAAAAAGGGTTCCTTCTTCCAGATATGTTGGGGCCATAACTCCCAGAATTCTCAGCCATTAGCCATTCTGTCTGGGAATTCTGGGTCTCAACTCTTCAGAAAGACATAATATCCACATCCCAGGTTGTCCTGGAACACTTCATCGCCTTGTATGCAGGTGATGACATGTGTTGTTTACTAAGTACCTAAATGATTTGCATGATGCCATAAGAAGCATGAATCTGAAAATGGATGTTTTGAAGATCAAAGTAATTGTGCTTGACGGGGAAATGGAGTGAGCACTTGCAAGTTCTACTTAAATGGCATTGAATTAGAGCAAGCAGAATATTTTATGTATCTTAGTAGAATGTTTACTAAAGACGGGGCATGCATGGGAAATGTTAAAATATACAAATGCTTGTAAGAAAATGAAACAATGCTATAATGAAATAATGGGGACGCATCTGAAGGGGAACCACAAACCATGGAGACTGCCCATATTGATCATTGCCATTAGTCTCATCCTCCCCTTTTCAGATTAACAGTCTTGAGTCAAGGTTGCTCAGCAATTCAGTCTGTGTTGTTTTCATAAGGTTTCTTTGACATCTTAGAACTCTTATGTTGCTAATTAAAAAAAAAGAAAAGAATATAATATAATATAGACAGGAATTCCTTTCCTTTGCACGCTGTCTAGAAATGGATTCCGTTACAGATGACTGACCTTCAGCTTTACCTACAGCAACTCCAACTGTTTACATTTAGGCTCTATTCCCATGATTTACACAATTGGGAAGGATTGGGGGCTTTGGTACCCCAGTTTAGTCTGCCACTGAACCTTTTCCATGTACTTTCATCCACAGCTCCAGTTGCTAACATAAGCCTTGAAAGAGCCCCACGAGGGGACATAGAAGATGGTAAAGACCTCTTATTTTTCTGCTCTGTTGAATCAGGATCTTTCCCTGTTGAGTTCAACTTTTTTAAAGAAAATGATGGCAAATCCTTATATCAGGTAGTAGAAAAGGAAAAACTGACAGCTATTTGGCCCACTGAAAGTTTCACGAGCCAGGATGAAGGGAGTTACTTCTGCAGAGCTGACAACCAAGCAAAATCCTTTGTGGAAAGCAAGAAGATCATGGTCAAGGGTATGTCCTGCTGTTGAACACAAAAGACAAAGTCTATCAACATTGCCTTCTGTTCCTAACATGCATTGTGACATCATGACACAAGGTGTAGATGTTGTACTAGATCAGGTCGGATTTCAGCTAATACTTCCAAGAAGTGCTAAGAAAACCTTGATAACCACTTGGTTAGAATAAGAATACAAAAGAAACAAGAAAAATGTGTATTGTGCACAAGAAGATAAGGGAGAATTTTTCTGTATTTCTGAAAACGTTTTCTTTGCACAATCTCTTAGACTTTATATAATATTGCAGTTGCCATGTTGAAGCTCAGATAGGATCTTACACGAAACATGGATTACCCCAGATTTCATATGACAGCTCTTCAATATCATAGACAGGGAACGAGTAATGAAACCACTTGTACCACACCGTTGCAACACAAATACTGCCCCATATAGGCAAAAGGGTAGAACTTGCACCCTGATGTATATTTTGTCACTTTGGTGTTAGAAGCTGATGCCTATATGCCTGTAGTCACTAGGGGTGTAACATGCCAGTGGAAAGACTTTCGTGTTTTTTTCAAATCAAGCAAAGGTGCAGGGAGAATTCTATTACACTGGGGCATCATAGTCTTTATTCTGTGGCCTTGCCCCTATATTTTATCCAACTGTTAGACTAAGAAAGATCGCATGGCAGGATCTGCCTGTCTAGCTACTTCCCATAACAATTCCAGGTGCAAGCAATGGGCTGATTGGAAATAGCATTTTTAATATTTCTCTAGTGGAAACCCCAGTGATCTTCCTCTTTCTAACATGGCTGGAGTGGATTGTGACTCAGTAGAACCATTTTTGGTCACCTTGTTTTGGAGGGGAGGGCTATGGAAACCATGAAAGGGGTGCTGGTGGGCCAAACTTTTTCTACCCTAGTTTATGGCTTAACTTTGTATACAAGGTTAGCTATGCACTTAAAATAAATCCTAACTTAGTGCCATATGTGAGCCAGACATAGTAAAGAGTTGACACTGTAAAAACAGTTCCTTATGGTATAATATGCCTGAATCATGACCTATTTTTCTCTTAATTTTTAGTTGTCATGGCTTCATGGAAGAAAGGCCTTATTGTAGCCACAATCCTCCTGATTTTTCTTGCTGCTGCAGTTGCAATTATTTGGTTGAATTTTCGTTTGAAAGCAAAGGGTAAAATATATTTAAAAAATCTTTCCCTAATTCTTATTTGATTAGTGAACAGTACAGAAACCTTCTTCTGAATCTTCTGATTGTTAGAATTAATGCTACATTTCCCATATTATCTCTAACATCAGGAATGAAATGCAGCCCAACCCCACCTACCCCAATTAATTCTCTTTCTTTTTCCAAATTAAATTTGTGCTTCATTTGTCCTGCAATAGTGCTTCTGCTCAGCCTGATTAGCTGGAAATTAAAAATTTGCAAATGCACACCTAACTATAGTTGCACTAATATTTTAGTATTAATTATGGAGACATTGTGCTGCAATATGGGCAAAAACTGAAGTGAAGGAAGAATTCATTTGCAAGATAAAATGGAGAGGAGTATTTGAGCTTATGAATACACCCAATTTTCTAGCCATGAATCGTGAGTTTGAATGCCACACTAACTCTAAATATAGTTGTCTTGGTCTTCGATTAACTTCTGGGTAAACTTTGAAATTGTTATTTAAGGTTATATGTGAAATCATTCAATATGATGTGTTCAACATCATGGCTTAGAATACTCAATGTTCTCACACAATACCCAGGAAAACAATTAGCCAACCACGTTTTTATCCAATGTATTGTGTAAACCCAGCCCATATGGTGAGTTTTCCGTTCCATGTGACCCAAGAAAATTGAATTAATTAATTAAATAAGCCATGATTAAGTTAACCACAGATAGCATATTGTGGGAACTAGCACTGTGTGAACCCAGTCATTTTAGAAATCTGGGCAAATTGTGTAATTTTAAACAAACTTCATTTATACAAATTACAGATTTATATTTTTAAAAGGAAAAGAATGGTATATTTGAAGATAATATACAAAACAGTGTTCTGAAAATTCCCTTGATTTTATTAAAAATCTGTATTTGGTAGCAAACAATAATTGAAAGTATTTGCTTGGGTAGGCCATGAAAATCTTGAATAGTGCTGTTCTGTTGAAATCTCCTATTTAAAACCATGTGATTAAAGGGATTTTCAATTGTCAGTGGAAAGGATATGTACATTGCTGTTTGTACAACTGATTTTTTCTCATTAATTATAATTTTAAAGAATTCCTTTGGATTCATAACTTGACCCTCTACCCTGTTTTCACAAATGTTGTCTTGCAAGATTTTTCATAATTGCTCCATTTGCCATTTTACATAGCCATACTGTACAAATTCTACTGTTATTTCTGACAATTACAATTACAAACTACTGTATTCCTTAAGTGTTTAGAGAAAACTAACATGCATTTAGACTAAGATCCATCTGAATCTAGAGTTCTTCATATAGTATTGGAGTAACAGTATGAGAAGTAACTTTGCCTCCATGTTCATTTGTTTATATAGCTGCCTTTCTGTTTATGCACTACAACATAGTAATTTATTTTTTCCCCCCCTTGTCAAGCTAAAAACATTTCTACGGAGCTGGCTGTGTAAGTTGGATTTCAAATTGTTATTGATGATATATGTATATCTATATGTAGCCATAGATTCCTAATGCTGTTCTGTATGAATGTTTCGTTTATCTGCACAAATGGATACAACTAATTAAAGCAGAGTATGTTTTAAGAGCATTAGGAAAGTTTCTATTATGCAAATGGTCTATTGGGAGACATAGGAATATTGAATTAAAAATATTAAGTTAAGAAGGAAAAATAGAATCAGAGAGTTTCCCAATTAATTGCATTGGTACTCCTGCCCAGAAGAAAGGTGAAGAGGTAAGGAATACCTTAGAGGGCTAGAAAAGTGTCAGGAAGCAACCTCAGTAGTTACCTTTTGATAAATGAGTGTTTTGTGATTGGGCTTGTCAACCATTTTGTGGAAGAGCCTATGACATGGTCATAATATTCCCAGATAGGCTCTCCAGTTCAGAAGGATTGCCGATCTGGCATCAGAGAGGTATACAATTATATTTCTGAGATTTTTTGGAAAATCTTGAGTATAATTTGTAATGCAAATGCCTCTTCATTTCCCTTGTTTTCTTTCATTTTAGATCCAAACGAGCAACCAATTCAGTGGGTGAGAAGCTGACAACAGGACAGAATAATGAAGGAGAATTCTATTATGGTAAGGTTATTTATTTTCTCAATGCCTGTTACAGATTTGGGCACTTCCTCACAGCAGCAATAAAATGCTATCATCCAATGTGGAAACTGGCACTTCTATCTTAATCGGCCCTGGCAACAAAGCAGAATAGGGATTCGGTCTGCACCAGAACATCTCCTTTATTGCCAGCTACTGGTAGGAGAAGACCTGTGGGACTTCTGTGGTCAGGTTTCCTGTCCCATGAGTGATCATCCAAGGCAAGCAAAGTGGGGGGTAGAGAAACAGAATCAAGAGAACTGGCATCCAAGCTGCTCTTCTACCCCACTGTCTCTCTCCTCCAGTTTTTCTGCTACACTGGAAGTAGCTCTTTAACCAGCACCCATGTGGTAAAGCTGCCCATGGCTTTACCAAATAATTGGCTTCCCCTTCTTCTCTCCCTTCTTCTCCTGCTAGCCATGGGTTGGCAGAGAAGCGAGAGTGACGGCATTTTGGCACAATGGGAGAGCTTTGACCCTCCTGCTGCCCAAAGATCAGTGGCCAAGGACCAGAAGAGAGACATACCCACAGCAGTCACAGGTGGCCCTTGCCCCGGCCTTGGTACGATGCATTTCAGATGGACCAGATAGTACAGCTTGTGCTGGAAAAAGCTGGAAATCGCCACTTTAAAACTGAAGCAGATTAAGTTTAGTCTCCCTTCTTGGTGGGTCAGAGGTGAGTTAAAAATATTGTCTGTGTCTGTCCTCTAAATTCATTTGGTGGGTCATCTCCAATCTGCAATTAGCAGTTGTGCAGAAGAACCCTTTATTTTGTAATGCCAATATTGTTTTGTAATACCAACATAATGCCAACATTGCCGAGGTGATGATGATAATGACAATGACCCAGTCTAGGCCCAAGATCATTAGCCAGTCTTGGCCCAGTGTAATAGTGTTAATATAACCAAGAACACGGTTACATGTTGTTCATATGCAGTAGATGAGAGATATGATATCAAAACATGGGACAGTGGTGGGCCATTTTTTTTCTATTGATGGATACATTCATTTATAGCTGAAATAAGGAATAGGAATGATCAGAGCCTAAAGTGGATGGAAACATTCATTCTCCCCCTGAAGCTCCTTTTTGTCTTTCTATCTTCATTTTTGCAATTTAGGTTCAGGTTATAATGAAGATGGTGAAAAAAATCACATCAGTGCAAAACAGGATAATAAAGGTAATATTTATTTATTTTTATTTATTTACATATCAAATTTGTCACCGCCCATCTCATTAAAAAGCGACTCTGGGCAGTTTACAGAAGAGATAAAATCAATTAAAATACAATATAAAATATCTTAGTTTTGGTTTCAAAATACATTTTTAACTTTTCAGCTTAGTGCCTACTTGTATCCAGCTATGGGACAAACATGGCTTGGCAGCCATTTTTTTTCTACTGTGTTCCTTTGATGTTACCTTCATTTTATACTCAACCCATGCACAGTACGTTCTTAAATTGTCCTTAGCTGTAATTTTGCTAAAGCTATACTTTCCCTCTTAAGCCAAGAGCACCCATTGCAGTTTAGAGGTGTGTAAAATGTGTCATGCCTTGCTGACCATCCTTCTGCAGTCCAGTCAGGTAAAATAAACTAAACGCGAAGGGAAAAATCCTCCTAGAGGAGGTCTCTCTGTGTCGTTGCTAGAGCTGACACCAGCTTAATAGCACATAATCAGTCAATCAAGTAATCAAGGGGGGAAAAAAAGAAACTGGGAAAAAAGAAAAGTAGGTTCACAGGGACTGGCCACTAAGAAACAAAGGGGAAAAAAGAAAAAAAAATCTTTATGATATCAATACAAAATTAGTATTTAGATTTTTTTCTTTTAATCACTGTAAGGTAGGTAGTTTCTTACTGTATTATCACTGTATTAATCCTTTTGGTTGGTTGGTTGGTTGGTTGGTTGGTTGGTTGGTTGGTTGGTTAGTTATATTTCTCTAAAAAAAGTATACAAAAGTGGAGACACACATTTTGTGCTGGTGTGTTTTTTTCATATCAATACAAAATTAGTATTTAGATTTTTTTCTTTTAATCACTGTAAGGTAGGTAGTTTATTACTGTATTATCACTGTATTAATCCTTTTGGTTGGTTGGTTGGTTGGTTGGTTGGTTGGTTGGTTGGTTGGTTG